TAGTATATTACACCTTTCTTCTGTGGAAAGTAGGAATTATAAGCAGAAAATGGGACAGAAATACCGTTCCAAGGCTCGTATTTTCCTCATTAAAAAATAATTTTAAGGCCTAAAATAAAAATTAATTTCATACCATAATATTTGGATTTTGTGTGATCGTACTTTCTGAGACCGAAATGTTGGGTGATTAACTATCAGTTAAAAGGCACATTAAATTGATCTCTCCCTCCCTCTCTTTCTCTCTCTCTCCCACCCCCCCCTTCCCCCAATGCACTTCACTATTGTAGTGAATAGCCCAATGAATAGGACATCCGGACCAGCCCCTTTGGAAGAGAGTCCCACGGAAGAGGTGACGTCACTAAAACAGCCCATTCTTCAGATGCCACCTGTCTTGCCTTCTTGGAGGGGAGGGGCATCTGAGGAAGAGTGTCCCATGACAACCTCGGAGTCTTGGTAGGAAGACCTTGGAATTATTACTTCTCCTTTCTCCTATTTATGCAAGCCCTTAGTTTCGGGCAGTGGTGTCTAACGACCAGTGCTGATAGCAAAGGGCAACCAGACACTGTTACCGACTAGCTGCTCTCTGTCTGCTTAAATATATAGATCGTATTCAAAGGCAGCAACTCCACACATTGCAACAGTCCAGAGTGGTAGTCATTGAAATATGAATGAATGTTGCAAGGTTTATCTTGGTCTATATGCCTCCTTAATATTAGCCTGACTTAATACAAGCCGGCTACCTCAATCAGATACTGGGACAAACCAAGGATACTCACCAATTGATCCTTTGGGACAGGATATCTTGGCCTGGGGTAGACCGTGAGGCTTGAAGGATTGGGATAGCTAGATTGATGTTACAAGAGTGTGAAAAATGGTCGAAAGCAGTTTTGTTCAGGCAGAGGAATTAATGAGGTCATTTGGGTCAGTAACTATCCAGGAATACTCACACTAAGTAGGTGTGTGTGTGTGTGTGTGTGTGTCCTTTTCCCAAATAGGATGAACTCCACTTCACCAGACCGACAAACCACTCACAAACATTATCTCTGACTTGTCTAATCAAGTCTCAGTTTATTAGACTTCACCTGGTATATTATCTTGTCAGGCAAAGACTAGATCACTGACTGCCACACCTCTATTTGACGAAAAGGAGAAGTAAAGCTGGGTGTCGCCGCCGTGCATGAGTGACTGCTCAGCTCTCATCACCAGATCACCTCTCCCGCTGGTTTTGTGTGAAAAGCAGGGGGAATCCAACAGAGCCCGGAGGAACCTCAAAGCTGAACTGCCACGGAGATGGAGGCAATTTCTAAAGCAGTGTTTCCCAAACTTGACAATTTTAAGGCATGTGGACTTCAACTCCCAGAATTCCACAGCCAGCAAAGCTGGCTGTGGAATTCTGGGAGTTGAAGTCCACATGCCTTAAAATTGTCAAGTTTGGGAAACACTGTTCTAAAGGAATTCCAAGGAATCCAAGGAGGCAGGAATCCTAAAGGGCAGGGATGGTTGGGAGTAGTATATTACAAATAAAGTACATGCGTATTGCGCCCATTTTGGTCCTGCACCTGCCCTGCAGGTGACTGCTAACCATCTCAACCACCTTGCAGGATGCCAGCACTGGAAGTCTCCCCAAGGAAAATGGCTTCTTTCCCAGGAGAATGGAGAAATCGACAAACGCGCCCCCATTGAAACAGATAGAGTGGGGGGAGGGATAACCCTCCCCCCCGCCTCCTTCGGAGGAGTCTCTTGATGCCCGGGAGGTGGGGCGGGGGCGTCCCCTGCGGCGCCCAGGGTCTCTGGGACGGAGCTAGCTGGAGGGGGGCTGAATTCCGAGCTCCACCGGGGCGGAACCCAGCCAAGCCCTGCCCCGCTGCGCCTCCCGGGACGCCCCTTGCGGGTCGGCTGGACCAGGAACTGCCGGCAGGAGCCAATGAAGGGCCGGGGCCGCACCGACGGTACCTCCGGCTGGCCTTGCCGGGTGCGTTAAGCTGAGCCCAGCTGAAGCGAGGCCGCGGGGCCGAAGCGCTGCGCGGGGTTTAGGGCGGCCTCGACCCTGCGCCGGCCCGGGAGCTCGGCTCACTTCGCGGTATGCCGGGCCGGCGAGCTTCGGTGGGTGCCTTTCCTCCCCGGCCATGGGTAAGGAGCAGACGGTTGGGCGGCGGCGGGAAGGAGAGCGAGCCCTTGGCCTCCTCAGGCTGCCATCCGCTCGGCTAGCCGAGAGGCAGGAGGGAAGCAACCGGCGCGGAAACCTTAAACCGGCGCGGAAACCTTAAACCGGCGCGCCTCTCCCAAGGCCGTTCTCAGCTCCGGGGCAACTTCGCGAGGCCGTGGCGCCCGATCTGGTCCCGGATGGGCAAGAGGAGGTTTCTGCCGCGGTAGGAGGGTGGGGACGCCTGCCGTCCATCCAGGGCGAGAGGGCCTGCTTTGCGCAGCAGGGCCGCTGATTTTTTCCCCAGGAAAGCAAAGCGGAGGCGGTGAATATGATCCGCCCGGAGTTCTAAACGTGTCCTGTCCGAGCTTTATTACTGCCAAAGGGGCTCGGTGTAAGCGGCCCTAGACATTGCGTTCCCGGACGAACGCTCACCCCACAACAGTCCAAATGAAGCGTAGCCCGGTGCTTCTTTACTCCGAAGAGAAAGTCGTGAGTGGAAAGTGCAGATTTGACGTTAGGGAATCACACACTCCCCAGGTAATAAACCGGGAGCTGAAGAAAAAGGCACCCTCCAAAAGAAAAACGAATAGGGGTCCAGGTTACGGAAGAAGAGTCCGTACTGCAAGCTGGAATGAATGAAGCTAGTCTAAGGATTGTTTTGAGCACAATCTTGTGCACATTTAATGAGAAGGAGCAGATTCCACTGAAGGCGCGGCCCTGAATTATCCTCCGAAGAAGGAAAAAGAAACTTGGACAGCCACAATGCTACGCATGTGTTCAATGGAAAGCAATAGGAGTAACTGTTAAGAAAAACTGCCCAGCGCGCTGCTGGCCGGAAAAAAAGGTCACCACGAAAGACATTTGCTGAGGATGGATTTCGGGCCTGACTAATTTTATTTTGATGCTCATTGCATTGGTGTCTGCTTTGCCCCCTTCATTCCGACCCTTTCAAAAAGAGACCCTCTTTCTCTCTGTGTATATGTGTGCCTCTGCAAAAATAAATCATTGGTAACCTTGACTGGAACATGTTGCCACTTTCGATCCTTTTATCTGTGTAAGTTACGCACGTCAATAAAGTTTACACACCAAAGAAGAAAGAGAAACCACAGATCTAGGGACCCGAATCAATCTCGAACATAGATTTTTCTAGAGGCGGACGGGTAGCAAGACCAGTCCCCGCGTGTCTTGTCAAATAAAGGTTACACTTGGTCGTACCCATGAAACCCATGGCCCTAACCCTAACCCATTAGCGTTCCCAACAAGTTCAGTGTGGCATAATTGCTTAAGTGAATCTCGCTCTTTCGCCCTCACTTACCTGTCTATCCGGATAGAAAAATTCAGCCCCTCCATTGCCTCGGTTTTTCCGTCCCAACCCATTGTCCCCATCCTGATTTTCCAAATAACCGGCGCTAGTGCCCCAGGCGACGGGATCCACTCACCCCATGGATGCCACAATTCATTAAGCTCCTTCCGCCAGATTTCCAGCGCGAAGCCTTAGCTTCTGTCGAAACCCACCGCAAGGCTGTCTCGGGGGGGGGGCGGCGGTCAGTGCAGCCCAGTTAGGCGCTCCCAGGCTAACCAAGCAATTGCACGTGAGAAACCGTGCAACTGAGGAGGCTGCCCTAAGACCCGCAGGAGATAAATTCATGCAGGCAGCGACCGAGTGCGTCTCTGCAGGAGTCAATTCCACCCCGCTCCTACACCAGAGCAATGGGAATAAAGCAAACCTAACACCCACAAGAGGCTCCCCCAAACCCCGCGTTTTATTATACCTAGATTCTTTAGAAAAAGAGGAGCCGTATAGATATATGATTTTTCTCAGTAAGTACCCTTCTTACTTCCAGGGCTACTTGCGCTAGTGGGATTTTGCTCGAAAGGGCATCGCTCTTAGTTCCGAATCCTTTACGCTTTTTCGAACATGCTTTTTTTTTTTTTGAGGTTTCAAATGTTTAATATCAGGGTGCTGGTGGCATTGGGGACGATTATAACCTTCCCTCCACGTTTCCTGAAGAGTTCGAAAGTATAATTTCCCAGGAGAAAGGTGACTTTGAAATTGTGCTCGGGAGGACGCTCGCGAGAAATGACTAAAACGGGCAAGAAGGTGAAGACCTATCAAAGTCGTCGGTTATTCGGGTGGAATTGAGCTGGGATGGCAATTCTTAACTTGCAACCTCGCAGTCGGTAAGACTTCAATGCACGGAGTGGGGGACGGAAGAAAGACCCGGCCGTCGTTATCTGGCAGGAAATCTAAACTGATCTCATGGAGAGATAGTATCTTTTCCGGCTGGCTCTCCGTAGCTTGCTGGACACTTATCTCTGCAGGGCGTTGAGTGGATGTGCCCGAAGAGCGGAGCAGAGTGGTGGGAGGGTGGGAGACTGAGAACCAGGCAAGGGGGCTATTTGCCTTTTCCTCCACGAAGGGAAGAATGAACTAACGCGAAGGGTCCTTCAACGCACCTTAAACTCGGGAACCTTAGAAACAGGCGGGGCGCCCTTGCAGGAAAGGCTGCGGTCCCGGACATTGCCAAAGCCCCTTTGAAATGAATAGGGAATAGGAGAGTGCACCCTAAAGGGGTTCCACTTGGACCGCGAGCTCCTACTGCATTCATCCGACGGAGGGCTGGGAGGCAGCGGGTGCAGACTTTCGTCCAGGTTCCTCTGCCTTGCAGGTGGCTACGGGTCGCCTTAGTCACTTTGCCGGACCGCCAACTACGGGGCTCCACCAAATTGAAGTTTGTTTCTCTCCTTGAAGAAAGGCGCAAGGGACAATAGTTTGCTCAAGCCCCCCCCCCCATTGAAAAAGAGATAGAAGGGGGAGCACTCCTCCCTCCCTCCCTCCTTCCACGGAGGGGCCTCCTGGGGTTGGGAAGGTGGGGCGGGGGCGTCGGCCGTGGCGCCCGGGGTCTTTGAATTGGAGTCAGCTGGTGGGGGCTGAGCTCCCAGCCCCGCCGGGGCGGAACCCAGCCAAGCCCTGCCCCGCAGCACCTCCCGGGGCCTCCCTTGCAGGCCGGCTGGACCAGGAACTGCCGGCAGGAGCCAATGAAGGGCCGGGGCTGCATCGGCGGCACCTCCGGGCTTGACGTGGGAGACGCGTCAAGTTGAGCCGAGCTGAAACGGGCTGCGCCGCTTCCCTCCCGGCGGCTACTCCCCGCGCGGGTCTGCTCCGGCCTCGACTCCCAGCTGGCCCGGGAGCTCGGCTCACCTCTCTATGCGCCGGGCGGAGAGACATCGGCGGGCGCCTCTTCTCGCCGGCCATGGGTAAGGGCAGGCGCTCCGGCGGCGGGTTGGAAGGAGGAGGAGGAGGAAGAGGAGGAGGAAGCGGTCTGGGCTCTCGCGCTGCTCTCGGCGGGGAGGCAGCTGCAGGCGGAGGGGGATCCCCGGCCTCTTCGCTCCCAGGGATCCGGGCCCAGCCGCTGGAAAGGGATGCCGGCTGGTCGCGACAGGCAAGGCACCACTTTCACCCGCGGTAGGAAGCGGGGAGGCGCTCCTGCCTCCAGAAGTGGGGCGGAAGGGGGCCATGCGGGGTAGAGTGCCCGCGGGCGGCAGTACCCTTGAGGCGGCTAAACAGAGCTGGTTTGGATGGGAAGTCCGCTTCGTCCAGCCTTGCTTCTCCCCGGATCAAGTAGAGAGAGAGAGAGAGAGAGATATCTCTGGAGAGCTTCTCTTCTTCTCCTTTCAGAGAAAACTCTTTCTGGGCCTAGAGATTTCAATTAGCAGTTGCGATTCCACTTACTGTCTTAGGTTTACTCATCTAAGTTGGGCCTTTTTCTTTGCTTTTAACCACTTAGTAAGGTTAATAAAAGTCTAGATATTGTACATAGCACTCATATTACCATTATAACAATTCATCATATTACATAAGACATCATTTCTCAGAATGATTTAAGGTGTAGACGTATTTCAAAATAAGAATATAATGTGCTTGCCGTCTTACAGTATAAGACTGGTTAAATATATTGTAAATATATTTAGTTCATACGGTGCTAGATATTGTGGCTAAGTTATTGTCCACATATCTTTTAGAGTGTTTTTTAACTGCAAATTAAAAAAAAGATTACTCGTTGATTTGGCTATTCAGATATTTCCAATTTTGTTGTCTTGAAGGAACTTTTATTTTAACCTATTAAGGAATCACATATATTTCCGATTATCTTTCTATGATAAGAATTCATTTCTATATTTCCGATGTAATCATTTTCCGCAGATAACCATAGGTTAATATCATTGAACCCTCCCTAACCCATTAATATCATTGGCTTTGGTTAACCTCACAGATTTGAAATTTCTTAAACGCCCGAGGATTCCTTATATTAAACTGTGGGGGTTAATATTGTTTCGACACCCACTTAGTAAAGTCCTCCAATGAATGGACTAAATGGCTGGAGAACTTATAAACGCGAAAGCAGCAGATATACCTGAATGTAGGGGTCGGTATCGGAAAGCACGGGGAATTGCTATTCCTTGTCAAATGAACTTTGTTAAGAGGTTACCAGAATCCAAGCGATACGTTCAAATTAGAAAGCAATTATAAACTTTTGGAAAGGAATGGGACTTACTCTACTAATGGTTAGCTTTCCGTGCACATGGAGCATTTAAACTACATTGCCCCTGCCCTTTGAAGGGAATAGCCAGAGAATTCCACGAGTTACGCCTTATCTCTTCCCCCCCCCCCAATCTCTCTGGGCTAATCCAGATAACTGATTTTCCAAGCCTCCCTTCGGTCCATTCCCGTCGCCCTAGGCCAGGGGTAGGCAACCTCGGCTCTTTTATGACTCGTGGACTTCAACTCCCAGAATTCCTGAGCCAGCCAAGCTGGCTCAGGAATTCTGGGAATTGAAGTCCACGAGTCATAAAAGAGCCAAGGTTGCCTACCCCTACCCTAGGCTATTCTCCAGACCCGTTCGCTGGACCTCGACGCGTGGCAAGGGCCCCCGGCGCCCTCCTCCCGATCCCTCTCGGCCCACCGTCCCCCCCCTCCCTCCGCTGCAGCGCTGCCTTGGTGGCCAGCCTGACCGTCAGAGCTCCCGCTCCCCTTCTTCTTCCGCCTCTTTCCAGAGCAAACGTACGGCGAAGTGAACCAACTCGGCGGCGTCTTTGTCAACGGGCGGCCGCTGCCCAACGCCATCCGCCTGCGGATCGTGGAGCTGGCCCAGCTCGGCATCCGACCCTGCGACATCAGCCGGCAGCTGAGGGTGTCCCACGGCTGCGTGAGCAAGATTTTGGCCCGCTACAACGAGACCGGCTCCATCCTCCCGGGCGCCATCGGCGGGAGCAAGCCCCGCGTCACCACCCCCAACGTGGTGAAGCACATCCGAGACTACAAGCAGGGCGACCCGGGGATCTTCGCCTGGGAGATCCGGGACCGCTTGCTGGCCGACGGCGTCTGCGACAAGTACAACGTGCCTTCGGTGAGCTCCATTAGCCGCATCCTGAGGAACAAGATCGGCAGCCTGTCGCAGCCCGGCGCGCCCTACGAGGCGAGCGGCGGCGGCGGCGGCGGCAAGCAACCTGCCCCGCAGCCAGCCCTGCCCTACAACCACATCTACCAGTACCCTTACCCCAGCGCCGTGTCGGCCTCCGCCGCTAAGATGGGCGGCCACGCCGGAGCAGCTCCCGTCTCCGCGGCCCACGTCGGCCTCCCGCGCTCCTGGCCCTCGGCGCACTCGGTCAGCAACATCCTAGGCATCCGCACCTTCATGGAGCAGAGCGGTGAGTGGGTCTGAGCCGACCTCCGGGGCCCAGGGAGGAAACGGGGCGCGTTGCGGGGCTCCAGGTGGAAGGAGCCCGTCCAGCAGAACAGAGTGGCTGTCTCTGGCGGGCTCAGTAAGAGTCGCCTGCCTGTTTGGCGGGGGCGGTTTAGAGAATACAAAAGAAAAGCAAGTCCCTGATTCGCGGAACGGGAGCCACGACTTAGGGGAGGTAAAAAAAAATTAATAATACCAATTTCTAGATCTCTTTTGTGAATGTATTTTCAATGAAGAAAGAGGACAGGCGACTGTGGACAGATTTGATAGAACTTCAGCATATCCTTATTGCATTTTCTTTAATTTTATATTTCAGTGCTGTGGGTCTGAAACTAACTGCTTATTGCTATACAAAATGTGTGTTTCTGTTTGTCTGAGGCCTGTGCACGATTCCCAATTTTGAGTTTAGGGGTATGCTGGCTAATTGTTTAACTCCTGAAAATCCCATCGAGATTGTATATTTATCATTCATAGAAACTCATTGTCACTTGTAAGGCAAATGACGTTTACTCGAGAAATTGGAGAAATCTCTCTGATTAATATCCCTGATTAGTATTATTTTTTCTGGAGCACGTCCACAGGCCATGCATACTGTGAAGCCGCTATTCGAAGTTCATAGGTTTTATTATAAGACATCAATCACCACTGCAGGCAGAAGAAAAGATTTGGTTTACAACTGGAGACATTTCACGTATATCTGGGTTCATATGTTTTGGAATTCTCAGGAAGCCTTAACAATCCAGTTCTGAATATATTCATTCTAAAATAAGCCAGCATTAGTCATGATTATATTTCTTGGTAATTTTGTTGTTCATTTCTGCTCTGAACAAAACTATGTACGCCTTTGATATTCAAGAACATATTTTACTAAGCTTGTGGAACTCCTAACTGTGTTCCTTAAGAATAAAGGTGTAGCTTGCAATGACCTGCTTCTCCAGGCAGGTCTAAAAGACAGTCCTTGATGTGTTTGTGTTGCTTCCCCCATAAGAGGACAGGATCCTGGGCCATGTAGGCCTAGGGTAGAAGATGACCTCTTCAGATTTTTGAACCCAGTCCTCTAAACAGCTTCAAAACCAATTAGGGCTGAATAAGCGGCTCTCACGTCCCATCTTCACAGTTGCTCATTGCTTAATGTCTCATTGCTTCCTGGGAGCTTTTCCTGCTGCTATAACAACCTGGAAGGACAAAATTCAGCAGACAGAACTCTGGCTGCTGTTGCAAAAAAAAGGCCTGGACATCTTGAACTTCTTATGAAAAAATGTGGAAAATATTTTCGTAGCGATGAGAGATTGCCAACCACAAACTCTGAGCCCTTACAGTCCCCTCTCCCTTTAGAAAAATAGAAAGAAAAGAAAAAGTGGTCTCAAGAAACAAGTTCATATCACAATTATTTTCTGAAAGATCAAATATCTGACAGAAGGTTTCTTTTCCACTTTTTATACTATTACTTGCCTTTCAGTTGTTTTACACTTTTTATACTATTACTTGTCTTTCAGTTGTTTTACATTTCATATTTCTGACTTCTCATGTGTTCTACAATTGCGGGACACACCAATTATCCACAAACTCTTAGACAGAGGAGGCTGCGAGTATTCTATTTTTAGACTGTAGTTATCTACTTTGTTTTGTTACTAGGAAACCTTAAGTTGTCATTTAATTTAATTTAATTGTTGGGAAGTTTGTGAAGGAGAGAATGTTCCACTTTGCAGCTTCAAATCAAAACCAGCAAGGGGCTTGAAAGTTCTTCTTTATAACTCGATAACTCATCTTTTAATAGATAATCATGTAATTTTTTTCAAAAGTGCCACCCGTGTTTTAGATTACAGATTTTCAGGTATCCTTAGGCACGACCATCAGGTCTTTGATTCTGGTAGTCTCAGTGGTATCTGGATGTGTTACAATTAGTTCCATCATCCTCAGACTGAACAGTAAAAAAAAAAATCAATTTAATGAACCTATTCACATGGCTTAGGTTTAGTTTGCTAAAAAAAAAAAAAGAATGGTTAGACAATACCAGCTTCTCCTGTAAATCAATTCTAAGCATGCTGAAATTCTATTAAAAGGATACCAAACACAGACTCCTTCCCATTTTCACTCCAAAAGCACTTGGACATTTATGATCTTTGTATCTAATTCACTGTAATCCTGTTTTCCATTTATAATAACACTCTCTTGAGAGTCTCCTAAATGATATGAGAGCCAAAAAACCTGGTTCATGTAATGAAGTAGGCATGGAGGTGGATAAATATGTTTTAAATGAAATGCTGGCAAAAGCTGTTTGCAATTTTAACTGTCTCCTCTCTCCTATATAAAACCTCTATATTGCATTCAGTTTCAACCTTGAGTTTTACCTACTGTGCAGATCCAATTCAATGTGTAGGTTGGTCATAAGACATTTTGTGACACTGTCTTCTGAAAGCTCAGCTTCCTCTCCATTCACTAATATGTTTTGTTGAAGTGCAGCGATGCTGGAAATTAGTCTTTCATCAATAAATCTGGATTGAATTTATTGTTAGCTTTTTATTCAAGATTAGGGCATTGCAGTATGGGCAAAACAAAAAATCCGTCTTATACAAATCCTTTAGCCTTAGGGAAAATTAAACCCTTTAGCTTCAGGGAAAATTGAGAGGGGGAAACAAACACTGGGGGATGGGGGTGGGGGGTGGAAAGAAGAGGTTGCCACTGAACCTCCTTCCAGTTCTCTAACAAAGCAAATGTTTGGGGTTATCTTTTCCTCTGCAATTTGGCATGAGGTTCCTCTTTACCTGCATCCTTTAAAAGCCCACATCACTCTGATTTGATGTGAGGCCCAGACAATGTCCCTGGAGCCTAATGGGTTATTTTTGTTGACCTCTATAGAGACTTCATAGAGCTTAACAGAGGTCTCTGAAAAGGTGAGTTGTCATGCAGGAAGTAGATGTGGGATTCCCATAAGGGAGCCAGTGGGTCTTGAGACAGGCCACCCTTTTTCCGGCTGCTAATATATTCCCCGATCTCTCCCATCCCAGGTGTTCTAGCTGGGACAGATGGTTCTGCCTATCCTCCCAAACTCGAAGACTGGCCAAGTGTGAATAGAACCACCTTCCCTGCTGCCGGGCATGGTGTCAATGCACTTGACAAATCAGCAGCAGAAGCAGACATTAAATACCCCCAGGTAACAGTCCGGCCCCCTGGGAACTCAAGAGCAGGAAGGGCTGCACAGGGTTGTCTGTGTCTGTGGCCAGGAAGTGGGGAGGGGGGGTGGCAAGGGGGAAAGGTAAAAGGAGAAGCAAAGCAGGGGTTATCTCTGTATAAGGAAAACTATGTGGCTGAAATAGCAGTAAACGGGTACGGAACCAAGATTTGGAAAACAAAACAAATTGCAATAAAAACAATCCCACAAGATTATTCTAATCTAATTCTCCTTTTAAAGCAAACTCATATTAGGGCAGGCTGAGGGTACTAGGCTGAAGTGGAGGGAATGGAGCCCTACTTGATTTCTGCCTTCACACCAAGAACAGGGCAGCATTTCCCAAGGGCTTCTGGCTGCTGTTAAAAAGCAATGGTCGAGGGCCCCAACAAAGACTAATTTACAACTCAAGTCACCTACTCTGAATTGAAATTATATGTACTTAATGTGATTGTAGCAATTAAAAACATTATGAATTATAGTTTGGCAACAACTGAGCCTCTGCTTTGTAAGTCAGCGAGGGAAATGACACATGTACACTCCTAGACCAGCTTCTGGTTACTGTTCTTTATATGTTTATCTCTGTAATTTCATAAAACGTACCCCTTTTTTTGATAATAATCTGTATGTTTCCTTGTATCAGCTTCTGTGATTATTCAAACTGAGATCATGAACTGCATGAACCGAGATCAAGAATTGCTAGTGCAGGTTTTGCTGTGCAGGTTTTTTGCATTCCTCTTCAATTTAATTTAATTCTCTAGATCCTTATTTGGAAGTGAAGTGAACTTGAAAAGATAATTTAATTTACTTCCCCATTCATGTAATTAGAATCAGAGCAGGAATGGCAAATCCATGCTGGAGTATGACCTCTCTTCCTAAAGCTCCCTACTTTTCCACATGCATTTTTTTTTCTTTGCAGCCCCCTCCTGGGCTCTCCGCTGTGAGTCCTTTCCTGTCCCCTTGTGCATATCCCTCCTCAAACCAACCTGCTGTATACGGAGGGCCAGGAGGAAGCTACCTAAATCCATCTCATCACCACTGGCAGACCCAAGGTAACCCCCTGGCTCATCACCACAGCTCTGGAGTAGCAGCTGTTCACGGTGCAGAACTGGCTTCCACTGTGGCTTTCAAACATCTCTCCAGAGAAGGTAAGCAAAGATGAAAGGGAGGCACAGCCTTCTTGGGCAGTAGCAAAAGAGGGGTTAAAAAGACTTCATGCACATTATGTTCTACTGTATATTCAAGTCCCCTGCATTTCCTATGCTTATCATTCATTTTGGTGGTTCTGAATTTCTAACCGAGCTATTCCTTTCTTTGAATGTGCATGTTCAGTCCTTGTCAATTACTTCCAAGGTGTAGCTTCTGCTCTATGCATAAAGTGTCACTGAGCAACATTCTAAAAGAGATACTATATTGGTCTACACAAAGAATTATTCATTGAAGGCCAATCAGATAATCAGTTAGCAAGCACCAGTATAAAGGATGGCAAGTGAGGATGCAGGTCTTTTTTCTTTTAAAAATTAGTCTATTTTGAAAATGTCCCTTATTTTTAACTTCATTGAAACACAGTCTGCTTTCAGCAAACCAGCCACCCTCTTGTGATTACTTGTCAATTATTGTTATCCTCACCCGGAAAGAACTTTCAATTGAAAGTGCTGTTACTATTCAGTTATCAGAAGTTAAATAATTGGAGGTGATTTCTGGCTGGGAAAAGAAACCCCCATCCTACCTAAATATTTTCTTATCCCTTGCACTGAGCTACTCCTCTGCTTTTTTTTTTTTTTTAAAAAAACAGCTACACCTTTTATTTTCCTTACAATCATTATGCATAGTCACTAACTGCGTGTGGTCCCTTTTAGGGTATTAGATTGAAGTGAGTGTCATTTAGGCTGCAAGATAATTGACAATGATTGATGACACTGAAAAGAGGTGTCCTGCACATGTGAAAAGTAGTCTCTAAAACAGAAGACTTTGGAAACATGAACATAAAAAAGGAAGGTGATGATATAAAAAACGTTGCTGCTTGAGCAAAGATTGGGTTGTGCTCTGTTGCTGTTGCGTTTCAGATATACATTAAGCATTTATAAGTGGAGGCTTGTTCCAGTCAAAATGAAGCAGGTCGATTCTCATACAACTCTTCCCATTGCTTAATGTTTCTATTATAGTAATTAGGACTGTATGGTGCAAATTCTACAGAACAGAGTCTGCATATTATTTCTTACATTTTCTATGGCTAATACTCCTGACCTAAAGAATAAAGCAACTGTATCCTGACACATTAATACACTTTGAGCATATTCGGAAACAAAATACAATAAAATCACTCCTTCCTCTATATGTATAATTTCAAATTTATTTTGGATTTTTTTAGACTTTTTAGAAAGCAAGGCAGTCAGATAGAAATACCTTTTAACTCAAAAGATATATACTTCCCTAGCTGACTATAATTGTCATTGATTATACAAAAGAAAAGCAGTTTAGCAAAAACTTCTAGTCATTCCTAAACATTAATCCCTTAAAACGTATTGAGCAAAGTATCATTGGAGCATTTATTTCATGTTATTTATGCATATCATGAAAGAAAAATAAATAGCTCCAGAATGTATCACATCTCTTCACAAATACAGGAATTAACTTGATTTAAAAATTAATTTCAATATATAGAAGTTTATTGTTTTCATGGAACAGATCCACCATCAATCTTAACAAAGAGCAAGACATTTTCTGGAACAATAAACATATCAAGATTCTAATCCTATTAAAGTATCAATTGCCAATAAACTAAGAAAAGTGCTACCTTTTAAAAATACTTGAATTAAAATAAACAATACATTTATTTTAAAAATCCGAGTGTGTTACATATTACTTTGTTGTTTTATGAATCTTTTCTTCCTGTGCGCATCTTATCCTTCTCTTCCATGGTCATAGGTTCCAGAATACCTTTTTCTGCATACTTTTGAGGAACTAAATCCCACTGAAGGATGTATTTTCAAATAGTTCTGCTTTGAGTTCTATGTTAGCTTTTCCTGACTAACATTTCTACCTCACTGGCCCAGTTTGAGCATTCACTGAATTATGAAAGTGCTTTTGATTTGAGTAGAGGTTTCACTCTATTCACAGACACCAAGTCTTCATTTGGAAGGAAGGTTGTATGACTAACATTTACTTGAGTATTCCACAGATTTGTGAATTTTCAATTTCTCTTGTTTGTTTAGTTTGGAGATGGAAAAAGCATATTTATTAAAACTAACAATTTTACCTAAAATGTTAATACTGAAATGTTAGTGTCTTTGAAATGATTATATCAAATAGAGTTTTTTTTTTAACAGCATGGTCCATGTGGTTTTGAAAATTAATAGAGATCAACTATTTTAAAGAGAATGTGATCCATTTTCTCTTTCTTTTTCTTCTGTAATATATATATATAAATCAGCCTTACACAAATTCTTCATGGTATCGTAGTGGATAGCCTTTGTGCATTTTTCCTGCTACAAGGATATATTTTTCATTTCAAAGCGTTGCTCTTCCTCACCTGTAGAAATATAGTAGATGCCACAAACAGTTTGGTATTTCCAGTAAGCCTTGCTTCTTTCCTGCTGGTAAATGTTGAAGCAGGATAACCTTAGGGGTACGGACACTGAGCTGAAGGAAGAGCCAAGTTAAATAAGGTTGCTCTAGACTGGCTTGAGTTTACTTATGCACACTGTCTTCAGTAAGCAAAGGTTTAAAAATGCAGTGAAGGCAAGGCTCTTTGACTTCCCCAACCCTAAACGTCTGTTGGTTGCTTGGGGATTAGATAGGAAGATGAACTTCCATAAATTCAAAGTATGTTTCTTTTTAAGCTTCCAATTGGTGTCATCTGTTCTAGATAAAACTCAGTGGAAAACATACTTATTTTGCTGGGCTTTGCAATTTGCACAATCCACAACACTTGGCAAGAATACAAAACTGCTTGAGGGAAGCTCTGATGCCAGGCTTGGAGGATACTGTTATGCCAAGCTGCTGTTTTATTTGAAAGCCTTCCATGATGCAGGCAATGTGTACAAAATTAATGAAGTGCCATTTGTTTTTAAATGGAGCCAGGAGAAACTATTTAATAAATCAGGCCTAATATCAATTATGCCCTCACATGTGAGGAAAACAGCAAAAATCTAACAAAAAGGTCTGCCATTTATTACCTCACTTAATAATAATAATAATAATAATAATAATAATAATAATAATAATAATAATAATAAAGTTGGAAGGGACCTTGGAGGTCATCTGGTCCAACCCCCTGCTCAGGGAGGAAACCCTATACCATTTCAGACAAATGGCTGTTCAGTCTCTTCTTAAAAACTTTCAGTGTTGGAGCATTCACCACCTCTGGAGGCAGGTCGTTCCACTGGTTAATTGTTCTAACTGTCAGGAAGTTTCTCCTTATTTCTAGGTTGCTTCTCTCCTTGATTAGTTTCCACCCGTTGCTTCTTGTCTTGCCTTCAGGCGCTTTGGAGAATAGCTTGACTCCCTCTTCTTTGTGGCAGCCCCTGAGATATTGGAACATTGCTATCATGTCTCCCCTCGTCCTTCTCTTCATTAAAATAGACATACCCAATTCCAGCAGCCGTTCCTTATATGCTTTAGCCTCCAGACTTCAGTCATGAGTTTTGGGGATAACATTTTCTTAGCCTTACCCCTCTGCCACTTTCTGAATAGTAACACTAGGAACTTACCCTAGAAGTCCTGGAAATTCTAAAAACAATATAAACACCGTGAAATCTATACATATAACACTGAAGAATCTTATGCAAATTTTTTGTGCTTCACTATAATTTTCCAGATTACTTCTGTTAGAATATACCTTTCAAGAACAGGTGTCCTTGATTTGCAACAGTTCATTTACTGTTTGAAGTTACAACGACAGTTTAAAAAGTGACTTATGACCGTTTTTCACACTTACGTCCATTGCAGCATCCCCATGTTCACATGATCAAAATTCAGACTCTTGGCAGCTGACTCATATTTATGACGGTTGCAATGTCCCAGTGTTATGTGATTACTTTTTATGGCATTCTGGCAAGCAAAGTCAAAGGCTGTTAACTTAACAGCCGTGTTACTAACTTAACAACTGCAGTGGTCCACTTAGCAACTGTGGCAAGAAAATGGGGCACACAATGGGGCAAAATTCATTTAACAAGTGTCTTGCTTAGCAACAGAAATGTTGGGCTCAATTGTGGTCGTAAGTCGAGGACCAACTGGAAAGCTAACAATACATTTTTCAATTAAATCACTTTGGCTTACCTACTCCTCCCTTTCTCCTATAAAACTTAAAATGAAAATAAATTCCAAGGAATACCGCATTTACTTGCGTTAATGCCCAAGATAGCTGCTCCTGAGATCTCTTGCTGGTGTGAATACAGAATAACAGAGTTGGAAGGGACCTTAGAGGTCTTCCATTCCTACCCCCTGCCCAATTTTTGTCCTACAATGAGCCTAAGGGTGAATCAAGACATTGTTACATCCAGTGCTTTTCTAAAAAAAAAAAAAGGTGCCGGAACTCACACACGTCATACAACCCGCCTTGCCTACCCTACAAGGTTCCATCCAAAAAAGGTGCCGGAACTCCATTCTGGGCGTTCTATGAGAAAAAAAAGCCCTTGTTACATCTGTCCCTACACTTTGGCCACCCCTTCTTGGCTTGAGGGGTGCTCTCCTATACTGCTGCCTGTTAAATTGCCTAATTTAAACAGATGAGATATTCAAGCCCAAAGAGCTTCTCTCTGCCCCATTATCTATAATCTTAGATTACAGATCCCAACAGCCCTCATACATTATAAAAGAGCTTAGTTAGTAGTGCTAACTAGTATAGCTTATTCAAGAGTTGCAGAAGGGCCAATGTCTAGATGTATGCAGAGCTCCTTCATTGAACAAATTAATGTCATGCTTCTCATACAGTGTTTGCTCGAAACCATAATTCTTGGATTTTGCCAAAATTGCCCAAACCTTTAAGCATTCTAAAAGTTTCTAAAAATCCTTTTTTACATACTTTGAGATCCATTTAAACAATTGGGATCTTTTCACCTCCCCTCTACACACACACTTTCCATCTTGTTCTGGGTGGCATCTCCCACTAGACTATATATCTCCAGCCACTGCACTTAGATGCTTG